AGCACCAGTGCACATGCCTACCAAGACTTCAAGAATCACTACAAGAAAAACACCTGGTGGTGAAGTTTCTAAGACATGGGGTCGGTTCCAGATGAGAATCCACAAGCAAGTCATTGACTTGCACAGCCCTTCTGAGATTGTTAAACAGATTACTTCCATCAGTACTGAGCCAGGAGTGGAGGTCCAAGTCACCACTGCAGATGCCTAAGTCAACTATTTCAATAAATTTAATAAATTGACTTATAAATGATTTTAAAAAAGAGTGAGAAAGAGGAAGGGGGTCAGGGTTCCACAATCCCTTTCAAGGTTTTACCATCTCCCATAGTGCCACCTCTGGGCCAAGCTTTTTTAACTCATGGGCCTTTAAGGGACATTTATGCAAACCAAAAATTCAATAGTGTATTGTATTATAGGCCACAGAATAAAATAAATATCCATAAATCCATAATAATATCAATAAGGAATGGATGAAATAAATATGGAGAATGGACCCGGCGACAGTGGCTCACGCCTGCAATCCTAGCTACTTGGAAGGCTGAGATGGGGAGGATCACAGTTGGAGGCTAGCCAGGACAAAAAGTTCTCAAGACCCCATCTCCAAAATAACCAGAGCAAAATGGACTGGAGGTGTGGCTCAAGCGCCTGCTTTGAAAGCATGAAGCCCTGAGTTCAAACCCCAGTCCCATAAAAAAAAAAAAAAGCAAGAGAAAAGTTTGAGACACAGTACTTAAATTCATTTAGTTAAATTAATAAAATTTAGTTATTCTGTGAAATAGCTTAAAATTTAGTCAAATATGCTAGTGTTCATTTCCTATTTCTGATCAGTATGCTGTGGTTATGTAGGATGTGAATATTTGGGGAAGCTAGGGGAGGAATATATGGAAATTACTGTAGTGAGTTGGAAGACAGAAACCTGTCAATCACAAAACCCTTGTGTATAAAAGAAAAACAAAACCTGTCAATCACAAAACCCTTGTGTGGGTGGCATTTTGGAGGCTATCAGGGACCTGAGGTTCAAATGTGAAGTGGGATTTCCTAGACATCAATGGAAGAGGTGTTGGACTTAAGAACCTTCTGCCTCTCAGAAACCAACCAACTCCAGAAGATTATCCCATCAGCCTTCATTCTCCAAAGACTCAGTCTTTGTCTTGACTCTTGGAAGCTGGTGTTCTCTGATAATACCTTATCCCCTGGACTTTCATGGGTGCCATCCATTCTTTCATCTTTTTTTGCGGGCAGAGCGGTACTGGGGCTTGAATTCAGGGCCTCATGCTTGTTAGACTTTGCTAGGCAGGCACTCGATCACTTGAGCCACTCCACCAGCCCTATTTTTGTACTGGGTTTTTTTCAAGATACGGTCTCACGTACTATTTGCCTCAGGCTGGCTTCAAACCTTCATCCTCCTGATCTCTGCCTCTCGAGTCTCTAGGAGTACAGGCGTAAGCCACTGGCATCTGCCTCTTTCATTGTTTATTTTCATCTCCTTTGGGAAGCATTTCCTGGCAGTGCTGAGATTTCTTCCCACCCCTGGGATCCCTTCCGGTCCCCCTTATCTGCCATTGGCTTTACATATCTTCCCAGTCTCCTAGTTCTCTGCAGTTAAGTGTGATGTGTGGTGATACCACCTTTATTTTCTCCTTCTTGTTTTCCACATAGTTTTAAGAAGGCGAGATGGGATGATTTAGAATTAAACCGCTGTCATGTTCCTGGCAGGGTGAGCTGGTATTCTCTTTGCTCTCCATCCCCAATCTCCATCCTGCTCCCTGTTGGACTGCATCATCCAAGCTTCCTCACTTTGACCCTGGTTGAGGTCAGCCAACTGGGGACATTGGTAGGAAATTGGGAAGGGAGAGGAGAAGTAGTTATTTCCCTCCTTGCTGGGCATGGTTTGACAGCAGCCATGTTTTTCTGATGATGGCTGAAGTTCCTGTCTGATAACCCTCTCCTATAGTAGCCACATATATTGGAGACTATGGACACTTCCTGCCCCTCCAGATCCAGAGAGATAACAATTGCCACTTCTGCTGGTCATCAGCACTACCCCCATTAAATCTGTCCACACCTCTATTCTCATTTGACTGTGCTTTCTTGACATCCATCAAGAATCTGACATTCACAGACGTATGTAAGTTTGACGGCTATAGCTCAAAACACACAAGAAATTGTCATGTGTCAGGTATGACACAGCCCTACATATTTTGCTGTGTAAAATAAATATTTTCAAATGAGAATTAGTAATTGCTAAGTTTGCAAATTGCTATTTGAAAAATTGGCTTTCCTTAAGTTGATGATTCAGTCAGCTGGTCTTTGCCAAACTGCATTGTTGGGCAAATTCTTCTTGGAGATTGAGTTTGCTCCTGTCACAGTCAGATTTTCCTTACCCCAGGGGAGGTTGGACTTGACCTTCTGACTCAGGATATGCTAGCATGGGTGTCTGTGTTCAAGGGCTGATCTGAAGAGGTGCTCTGCTAAGATGGGGTGGTGGAGGGCGGGCCCCACCTGAGTCATCTTCAACTTCACACAGGCAGGTAAAGTTGTTCCTTGCAGAAGCTGCCTGAGCCCAGTCTCTCAGACCAGAATCTGCCCATGGTTAGGAAAGTCTTTGGCTAGAAATATGACTAGCCTCAGGAGTATGTCCCGAGTACAGAGGGCCTGCTGGGGACATAGAGGCTGGGCTGGGAGGACAGGGAACTGGTCACAGCTGGAGCTAGAAGACCAAGTGGGACTGGATCTGGGTCTGAGCAGAAGGGTCCTGGGTCCAAGTCCAGCCTGGGCAGTTTGGCCTCTCTCAGCCCCTTGCCTTCTCCCTGTCAGGCATTTGGGACGTGTGTCTGGGCAAAGGGCAGTAGTGTGACGTCAGTAGAGTCACACGGTTCTCACTATGTACTAAAGAGAAGCAGGGTCTCATGGGTAGGAGGTGTTGTGGAGAGGCAGCAGTGCCTGACAGGGAAAAAGAGTACCTGTTCCCAGGAGCTGTGGTGGGACATCATCTGGGCATTAGAACCAGAGTCCTTCTGTGGGCCTCTCTGGGCTGGTGAGCTCCAGAAGAGCACTTTAGACTGGGGGCCCTGTGGGGAAGGGTGTGTGTGGGGTGGAAGCCATCCTAAAGCTGTTGGTGTCACCTGTCAGAGGACTGGGGAAAGGGGACCCCTGTAAGGGCTGGGGTCATATATACCCTCAGAGGAAACAGAGAAAGAGTTTAATGGGTTCAGGGAGTAAACTAATGCTTCCCTCAGCCCTATTCCTACCACCAGCAGCCCACCCTTGACACCCTAAGTGGAACACGCTGGAATTTGGCTGTATCAAGGGGAGGACAGGGAAAACTGGACCTGCTTGAACATCAGGATCCCCTCTTTCATAGCTCTTCCGGATCTGCAGGGTCACACATATATGTCTGCATAACTAGCAAGAATCATACTATTGTATTCCCCTTTTATTTTTTCTGGGTGGTACTGCGATTTGAACTCAGGGCTTTGTGCTTGCTAAGCAAGTGCTCTACCTCTTGAACTGCACTTCCAGCCCTCATTCCTTTTCTTAAAGAGCATTCCCCTGGATCCACCTCTGTCCAAAGAAGATGGCAATGAGACTGTGGCCTTGTGACCTGTGGTCACCTGTAGTCCTGCTGCCCACAGCAGCCAACACTGCCCAGGAATGTGAGAGGGCCTTGCTCTGAAGGGCTTAGGCTGTGGGGACCATGGTCTGGTAAACACTAATTAGGCCTGTCACACCCAGCAGGGTGGCTCTGAGGGATAAGGAAACCTCCAGAGAGGCGACTTCAGACTCCTGCACCAGGCTGGATCACATGAGCAGGAACATGAAAGACCTCATGCTAGCAACCCTCTGGCTCCCAGGAGTGTTATAGCCTTGCCACTCCTTGGCCCACTCCACTGGTTGGGCAGGGCTCAATGCCAAGGGTTGCTTCACTAGCACATCCTTGATGAGGGGGAGGGAACAGATATTTGCCAAGAGCTTGCACGTTTTGTCCACTGAGTGTCAGTGACACAGCCATGAAGGCATAGCTGTCCCCATTTTGTGGATTAGGAAACTGAGGCTCGGGATGGTCTAGTGACTAAAGGAGGTGGCATGTGGCACATGGTTTGAGGCATCTCTGACTGGTTCCCCTTTGCATGTGAAACATCAGGAGTTTGTAGGGCTGCTTTCTGGGAGAATTCTAACTAGGACTAGATCTCCTGACTCATGGTAGGGTCCTCTGCCTACTCCCTAGGACCTGGGGTAGTGAGGGCCACAGCTGGCCTCCCTCAAGACCAGGCCCCAGGGTTTAGAGAAGGCTGGGATTCCCCTCCCCACCATGTACTGGCTGCCCCAGTGGTGGGCCTCTCAAGAGCTGGGGCGAGAATCCACTGACTGGTGAGCTGTGGTGACTATGTCCCATCAACGCTGTGTCCTCTGCCATGGGCAAGAGGCTGTCCAATGGAGGCTGCTCTGAAGAGGCAGGGTCCTTGTGTATGAAGGGGCAGTGGTGCCCATTCAACTTGTGTGCCTGACCCCAGGGGCTGCCTGGGGCCCTTGGTCCACAGGACCTCCAAAAGTCTGGGTAGACCACACCGGGAACTTGAATCAGTAGGCTGGAAGTCCTACGCCTTGTCACCAGGTACTCAACAGTTCTCAGACTTGGGAGGCTTGGACCCCAGGGTCTGGTAGCAGGGTGTCCCCAAATGCTGTCATCTCCCAGAGCACTCAGGCCTACCCCTCAGGGACTAGACATGGCCAGAGCTGACCTTTCCTGCCTAGCTTCAGTTCTGCTCCCTATCTCTGTGCTTTACAAGTACCTAGGCTGTGGGGTGGGGGTGTCAGACACTGTGACAGGGGCAGTGCACAACACTGGGCAGCCCCACCTAGGCTCTTCCTCCCAGGCGCCTGTGCTTATTCATCTGCCCAGCCTCCAATAGACCAGGCAACCCTTCAGGGCACAGAGGCATCTATAAAAGCGCACTGGTCCAATCCCCAGCGTCCTACTTGTCACTGCCTGCTGCTATACAATGCTGGGAGGCCTGGGAAAGCTGGCGGCTGAGGGGCTGGCCCACCGCACGGAGAAGGCCACTGAGGGAGCTGGTAAGGGCTGGGGCTTCTTTCTGTCTGTGGGGAGGTTAGGGTGGACTTGCCTAGGCCTGTTGGAAGCTGATCCTAGCAGCAGGGCTTTGGAAGGAATGAAGGAGGCCCCCTTGGGAATCCTGGTCCATGAGCTCCACCAGGACAGGGTGGTATTGGAGGCCCAGAGGTTAAAGTGGGCAGTTCCCCACTGCCCAAGCAGCCTTCTGTGGGGACCCAGTGTCCACCTGTTCATGGGGCCTGTGACTGAGGGCCAGGATGGAGGCTAGCCCTAAGGGGGGTCCCAGTAAGGGGTGGTGGGGCAAGCGGAGCCTAAGCACTGGTGGAGTAACTGGTGGCTTGGAACCTTCCCTCTAGAAGCCTAGGGAACCTTCTGTGTCAAAGCTGCCTAGTCTGGGGCTAAGAGTAGCTCAATGGTAAAGCACTTGCCTAGGATATGCAAGGCCCTGGTTTTTTTTTGTTTTTGTTGTTTTATTTTGTTTTGTTTTTGCAAGCACCACAAAATAAAACAAAACACCCACAAAAAAATTCCTATTCTGACTAGTCCAGGCAGGAAAAGGCGAGTGGCTTTTAATTTTCACCCTAACTTTAACGCGTCAAAGATTCCTTCATTATAAAACCAGTGAGCTGATCTTGTCAAAGTCCAAAAGGACATTTACATTTCTTCTGAGAACCGGGGACCTGGTTTTGCACTCAGAGGTCAGCGGCTGCATATGGCTGCCCATCCAGGTGAAAAGGCTAGGCCCAGCTTGCTGTTCTCTGTAAATAGCTGCAGACATGTCACGCTTCACTTTTAACTCCACACCTGGTGCAGATCCCTCTAAATCTTCTACTAGATGTAACTTCTCTGAGGTACAAGCTATTCTCCTTTGACAGAGGAGAGCCCTGGCAGTGGAAGGTGGAGGTAGAACTAGAACAGTTCCAACTCCAAAATCTTTCATTTCTGGCACTCTACCACCCTGTAGAGAAGCCCAAGGTGGGCAGGGAATTCCCTTTTTTGGGGGAAATTGCTCTGGGAGAGGTGCGGGATGTGGCCATATAGAACAGTCAGCTCATCCTGAGAGGGTGGTGACCTGGCAAACACTCCCAGACTGGCTCAAGGCCCCAGCTGGCAGAAGGCTGCTCTGGGCATCCAGGCAGGCCCTGCTAGGCCAAGAGGCATGGAGGGTCTTGTGCACTAAAGGCTCAATAGGTTGTCTTCAGTAGTTGGACTCCTGGGGATCTCTGAAGAGAGTTAGCTGGGGGCCCTTTTCCTGAGCCACCCTGTTCTAGCTGGGGGTGGGGGTGGGCAGTGAGCCTGCACTGTGCTGTCACTGACTTTGTCTCCTGTCCTCAGTCCATGCTGTGGAGGAAGTGGTAAAGGAGGTCGTGGAGCATGCCAAGGAGGCCGGTGAGAAAGGTACTGGGACTGAAGTGGGTGGGGGAAGATGGAGGGAGAGAAAGAAGGGAAGGTGGGAAAGGAGGGAAGGAGAGGACAAAAAGTAAGGGCTGGGGATGTAGTTTGGTGGTAGAATGCTTGCCTAGCATGCATGGGGCCTGGGTTCCGTCTTCCCCATGGAGACAGAGACAAGTAGGGAGAGAGGGAGGAAGAAAGAGAAGCTAGGAAGTGAGGTGCAGGGGTCAACCCTTTCTTTTCCCAACTAGGTCAAGCCCTGCCCCCACAATGCACCCTTTCAGTTGGTTTGCAATTATCTGTGCATATAATTACCCATTTAGGCCACACCTGTATTAGGGCTCCATCTAATACATTCTGTGGAGTGCTAAGATGAGAAAGTCCCAAAATGCTATGTGGCAGCACACAACATTTAAGGTCAACAATTATGTATTTATGTAGATACATGTTTTTATAAATATGTGTGTGTGCTGTGAGTAGGACAGTGTAAAAAAGCATGTGATACCTCATTCTTTACACCAAAATAGATTTGAGGGGATGAAGGACTTACATTTAATACATGAATTTATTAAATTTTTAGAAGCCAATGTTTAAGCTCAGGCAGGTATAGTAAAAGAGAAATTTATTGCTCATTGTTCTGGAGGCTGACAGTCCAAGATCAAGGCACCAAGAGATTTGGTGTCTAGTAAGATGTGGCTTCCTGGCTGATAGGTGGTGTTTTCCTTCTGTGTCCTCACATGGTGGAGAGAGCTAAGTAGCTCTTTGGGGTCTCACTACTGTGTCCCATTCATGAGAGCTCCTCCCTCCCGGCCTAAGCCCCTCCCACAGGCTCCTTTCTTCCTACCATTCAGAGGATGAGGATTCCAACATATGAACTTGGGGATACAAACATTTAGACCATAGCAGCACCATAGGAGACTTTGGTGTAGTCTTAGGGAGGGAAGGATCTTTTTAACTATGCCTGAAAACTCAGAAGCCATAAATAGACTATTAGGTATAGGGCACTGTGGCGATGCCTGTAATCCTAGTTAATTGGGAGGCTTGCATGTCAAGGTCAGCTCAGGCAATAGCTCAAGAGACCCCCATCTGGTAGAGTGCCTGCTTTGCGAAGGAGAAACCCTGAGTTCAAACCCCAATGCCACCAAACAAACAAACAAAAAAGCAAACCTCAAACCAATAAACTATTAGGTAAACTTGACAATGTAAAACTTCAAAATTTTCCATAGTAAAAAAAAAAAATGCTGTAGTCAAGCCAAAAGAAAAGCCACAGAGGGAAAAATATTTGTAACAGAAATAATATAGTTCAATGTAACAACTCGATATATAAATGACCAAAGGCATGAACAATTTCCAGAAAAATGAAGTGTAAGTAGCCAGCACACCCACAAAACAGATGCTCAGCCTCACTCAAAATTGAAGAAATGACCCAGGCACCGGTGGCTCATGCCTGTAATCCTAGCTACTCAGGAGGCAGAGATCAGAAGGATCACGGTTGGAAGCCACCCCTTAGCAAACAGTTCATGAGACCCTATCTAAAAAAAAAAAAAAACCCCTTCACAAAAAAGGGCTGGTGGAGTGACTCAAGTGGTAGAGTACTTGCCTAACCAAACATGAGGCTCTGAGTTTAAACTCCAGTACTGCCAAAAAAAATTGAAGAAATGTAAGTTGCTGGAGAAATGAAATCAAATTTGAATTCATTCTGTCAGGAACCCTCTGCCCTTGGTCCCACCGGAGCAGCTCCAGGGGCTGATCTCATAAGACTGCCACACCCTATAGGTCTGTCATGGTGACACTAGCACAGTGAGTGACTCACCCAGACACATTTTCTTTTTTTCCTGACAGCCATTTCTGAAGCCTTTAAGAAAGTCCAAGAGTCGGGGGACAAAGTGGTGAAGGAAGTCAATGAGAAGGTAACCAACACAGTCACCGAGGCCATCACCCATGCTGCAGAAGGCCTGGGCAAACTGGGACAGTGAGCTTTTCCACTGTGGTGGCCACACCTTCCTGGATGTCAATAAAGAGCCATGAAATGTGTACACTGAGCCCTGGATTTATTCCTGTTTGGATAGACACACCAGGCAAAGTATTTTTTAGTGGACGCACTGTGATGTCCCCAGTTTCTCCTCTCCCTCTCTCCCTCCCTCTGTCCCTTCCTTCCTTCCTTTGTTGTGAAATCCAGAGCCTAACACATACTAAGCCTGTGCTCTACCACTGAGCACACCCCAGCCTTGCTGTACTTTAAAAAAGGCTGTTTCCCTAGAAACTATAGTGTTCAGACACCTCAATGCTTTGAGAGCCCAAGGAAAGACCAGAATTTTCTTGCATGTTCTTTGGGCTGTCCTTACAATGTTCTTATAGAACTCAGGGAAGATAAGGGACCAAGCTGGTAAGAGTTTGGCTGGGCTGCTTCATCTTCTGAAAGAGGCTTGGACAACATTTCTGCTGGACAGTTACAGATTCTGGTCTAGGAAGAAGAGAGTCCACTACATATTGGCTCTAGAAACTCCTGTTGAATTTCTTCTCAGAGACTTGTGTCAGGCCTAGTCATAGTAGTAGTAGGTGGTGGTGGGCAAGAATGCCTGTCGTCCTGTCCTTCTTCCCACCAGCAGGTCAGTACCTTACAGGTTAAGCATTATGTGTGCAGGTAACTTTTAGCTTAAAAGTTTTAGATCAAAAAAGGAGAAATTATGTATAAAATTATGGTGTCCCTATTATCTTGCTGGAAGCTATTCTTAGCAGAAATAAGAACAGGTGTTTTGATTAGAGAATGAATTGCTTTCCGTATTTATGGCTTTCTTTTGAAACTGACCTCACAAATTTCTTGGCCAGGAATGTCCAATGTCTCAGCTTTGGGATATTTGCCACTGACCAGCTAGAGCTGGACCTAATGTCTTGGTCACTGATGACTTTTGCATTTTCCCAAACCAAGCCCCAACTTAGAGGGCTAAGAACATCATGGGTGGTGGTATAGATTGGAACACCCTTTGGATGCCAAGTCTTGTCGTAGGACTTTTGTCTAAGATGTGCACAGGTACAAACAGGTGTCCAAAGGGCAAAACACAGTTTCATTGGAGCCTGTGTGTAATAGCAAGAGATTGGAATTCCCCTAAAGTGTTAATCAGAAACCAATTAGATGGTATATTTTGCTTTGCTTGTTAGGTTTGTTTTGGCACACAACGTGGAGCTGATCTGCATTGATTCTGTCATGGAAACGCTGGGACCCTGGCCTCTGGCAATTCACAATTAAGGAGAGTAGGGTTTTGAGGAAAGGAAAATAAGGTTGACTCTTCCTGAGATGATGAGGACAGGGAAAGTCAACCTCTCAAAGCTCTGTCGTCCCCCTTGTGAGAAAACATGTCCACTTTTAAAAGGGAGTTCAGGGGCTCAGTGGAGTATGTGAAAAAGCGTGTCCCAAAATCTCCTGGTTTATTGGCACCACATCTGTGAAGCTGTTTGTCTTGGTTGACAGGTTCACTCCTCAGTGATCAGAGAGAGATAAAAGGGAGAAGACTGCCTGGTTTAATTGGAGAGTAGAGAGTGTTAACCTTGATCTTTCCAGCATGGAGAGAGAGAAAGAGAGAGAGAAGGAGAGGAGAGAGAGAGTGAGAAGGAGAGGGAAAAAAGATCAAAGGTCAGTAATTTATTCCTTCTATTTGTTCTATTCAATCATCTAATGGCCTTTAGTGAATTCTTGGGTCCAAGTAAGGAGCAGCAAAAGCAGCTTTTAAGCACCTGTTATAATGCTACTGTATTTAAACTCCTTAGTTTGAAAAATGGGTTACGGGCCTAGATGGCCACCAACAGAGACTGGCTGATAAATTTTGCATGTATAGAAACGGAATACTCATTCCATGGCTATTAAGAATGAAGAAAATGTAAATATATCAATATGTCAAAGTAAGTTAATAAGTTGAAATATATATATATATATATATATATGTGGGATGTTCATTATTTATTTATTTATTTTGAAGTACATGATACACTTCTATAAATCTGTAAAAAAATCCAGTTGTATTTTTTTTAAAGTTTTTATTTTATTCATATGTGCATACAATGTTTGGGTCATTTCTCCCCCCTTCCCCCACCCCCTCCCTTACTCCCCACCCCCACCCTGCTCCCTCCCTCACCCCCTCTTACCCCTCGCTATCCGGCAGAAACTATTTTGCCCTTATCTCTAATTTTGTTAAGAGAGAGTATAAGCAATAATAGGAAGGACCAGGGTTTTTTGCTAGTTGAGATAAGGATAGCTATACAGGGAGTTGACTCGCATTGCTTTCCTGTGCATGTGTGTTACCTTCTAAGTGGGATGTTTATTTTTACAAAGCAAACATAAGAACAGAAAAAAATGGGTAGCATACATAGAGTGAAAATATTAACAATGGTCCTCTCTGTATGTGTGGGAATATGTGAAATCATTACTTTTTTATTTTTAATTTTTTTCTAGTACTGGGGTTTGAACTCAAGTCTCCACACATCTCCAGTCTAAGAGAAAACTTAATACAGATGTTTTTTAAAATGTGGTAATGGAGGGCAATATTAACTTATTCAAGATTGTTTCCAAATGAACTGCTACTTAGTGTTTACTGGTTTGAGCCAGGTGCTGGTGGCTCATGCTTGTAATCCTGGCAACTCAGGAGGCAGAGACCAGTAGGATCATAGTTCAAAGCCAGTCCAGACAAATAATTCTTGAGATTCTATCTCAAAAATACCCAACACAGAAAAGGACTGGCAGTGTGGCTCAAGTGGTAGAGTGACTGCATAGCAAGAGTGAAGCTCTGAGTTCAACCCCAGAACTGCCAAAAAAAAAAGTTTCCTGGTTTGCAAACTTTTGTTACCACTCAGTAATACAGTAAGTGGGAACTCTTAGAACAAGGTGACATTGCCTGAGTCCCCATTGATGTGCTCAGTGGATGATTCCTGCTGAGCAGGGTGTAGATCAACTTTTTTTTTTTTTTTTTTTGTGGTAGTGGGGTTTGAACTCAGGGCCTGTATCTTGAGCCATTCCACCAACCCTTTTTTTGGTGATTTTTTCCTGTGATAGGGTCTCCCAAACTATTTGCCTGGGCTGGCTCTGAACTGTGATCCTCCTGATCTCTGCCTCCCGAGTAGCTAGGATTATAGGCTTGAGCCACCAGTGCCTGGCTCAGTTTGGGTTATTGAACTTGCATGGCGAGTTGCATGGGAACTAGTCACACACACCGGAACCACTTGCCATGCATTAGATAAACAAGCTTTGTTCCTTCTCCATGGAGAGTTGGACACCTGCTGCCTCCACCTCCCCAACTTCACCTTGCAGGCTGCTGTGTCTAGAATAAGCAGTTCTTTCCATTTCTCATTGTCTTCTGTGTACGTGCTCTGCAGGGAGGATGAGGAGGAAGACTGAGAATTCAAGACCAGCCTGGCAACATATGGAGACCCTGTTTCAAATAACCAAGGTCTGGGGTGTGGCTGAATGGTAGAGTGTTTTCCCTAGCATGTGCAAGGCCCTGAGTTTGAGCCTTAGCACTGTTAGACAAAAAAAAAATCATCTGCAGAGAACTGTCATTACTTGACTTGTCATTATTTGATCTCCATAGCCAGGCTCTATTTGTCCTGAACTAGGATCGCAAGTAGGTTAAAAAGGTCTTTTCCTGGGGACATTTGTCAAAAAATATTTAGAGGACATTAAGTTGGTTTGGGCAAATGATAGGCTTACTAAAAAGTTTTAAAGGGAAAATTGGTGAATGAGATGTCCATACAGGCTTTGAAAATTCTAACATATTCTTAGGGTCCTACTGCAGAGGCCCCTAGGGAGGAGTGTGCACATGTCTGGGACAGACCTGAGAGGGCTCAAAGCTCTCCCTTCTCATTTACCTTGAGGTTCTTTGCAAGCAGTAAGTGAAGGTCAGGCAGAGATGTAAACTATCTGGCTGAGTGTTGAAGGGGTCCCTGACATTCCCTGAAGGGGTCTGTGACATTCACATAGAATTCTCTGGCAAAGATGGGAGAATTATTGGTTCTAGACAAAGAAATCTCAAACTGGAGGTGTGGCTCAGGCATAGATTGCTGGCCTAGGAATTGTGAAGCCCTGAGTTTGAACCCCAGTCCCGACAGGGGGTGGGGTGGGGAAGAAAGAAGTATCTGTCAAATCACTAGTTGTCCACTAAGCTAAATGAGCAGAAACTTCTGTGGCCACGTGTGACAAAGAACATGCACTTCCAAGATTAGTTCAGAAAGGTCACTAACACCACCACCCCCAAATCAGACAATTGGGGAGGAAGGTATAAAATAGGATTTCCAGAGTTGTCACCTTCTATTATTTTAAACGTGAGGGCTGATGGAGCTTGGTGGCAGAGCACTTGCCTAGCATGCAAGAAGATTTGGGTTCAACCTTGAGTACCATAAATAAAATAGGTGTCCTTTCTTTTTAAATCTCTTTGACTGGGATTAGGAGAAGTTACTGAAGTCTGTGGTGCTCAAACAACCACCAACCTCTTGGCCCTCAGCAAACTGTCAGGCTGTTAAAACACACAGCCCTGACTTCTGGTGGAAAAGGTATCTACTGCCTCCACGGCAGCAGTATGCCACAGGGCCGTCCTTCCCAGGGCTGGGTAGGGAATGGCAGCTGGTACATGAAATGTGACTCACTGCCAGTGTTTGAACAGACCCAGAGTTCCAATGCTGATTCGGACAGGTCTTCCTGTTCCAGGCTTATTTCATCTGAGGACTGTTTCCTGGAGGGTGTGCACTGGAGTCACCTGAAACACCGCCTGACATCAGGTGTCATGTTGAGACTTGTGTCTGAAGGATTAGAAAGCTGCCTCTGCGGTTTTCAGAGAACTGCATTGGTTTTTCCAAAGACAGCTCAGCTCTGGCTTCTGTACAGTGAGTGACTGCCACGAGCTTCTAGACTCAGTTAATTTTGCCTCCTTGCCAGCTCCCTGATGCCTGGGCCCTGGGAACTTCTTGCCCCCAGTGTAAGATTTTCTTGGTCATACCCAAGGTTATGGTCAACCTATTATATATCCTGAGAAAGACCTCAATGCCTACTACCTGTCTAGGGGAGCAGTTAAACAGAGGAAACCAGTACTTTCTCTGCCAGTTGTAGGGGATCCCAGAATTCAGGAGCCTAGGACCCCCAACATTTTTGACTTCTAGAAAGGTCTGCTTAATGATAGCCTAGGAACATCCAACAGCACTGTTACTATTACCATAGGAGCTTCTTTTTTTTCTTTCTCCCTTTCTCCTTTCCTTCCTTTTTTCTGTACTGGGATTCAAACTCAAGGCCTGTGTTTGCTAGGCAAGCACTCTACCACTTGAGCCACTCTGCCAACAGTGTTTCTGTGTTGCATATTTCAAGATAGGATCTCATTTGTCTGGGGCTGGCTTTCAACCATGATCCTCCTGATCTCTGCTTCCTGAGTACCTAGGATTATAAATAGGCATGACCCACTGGTGCCCAGCTACTTGATGTTTTATTACTGCTAAGTAATACCCAGAGTATAATAAGAAAACATCGAACACACACACACACACACACACACACACACACACACATTGATGAATTTTCTTTAGTGTACCTGTACAAAGGTTAGGAAACAGAATCTTATATACCCGACATGAAAAGAGTCTCAAGTGGTACAGCACCTGCCTCACAAGTGTGACACCGAGTTCAAACTCCAGTACAAAAAAAAACCACAAAACACTCCATTCCTGAGACACCACCACCATTAACCTTTAAAAAAAAAAAATCAGTATTATTCCTCCCAATGTTTAGCTCCAAGGTCGTAACTAAGACTTACCACCCCCTCAGATGATCTGAATCCATTGCCCCACTCCAACATTCCCAGCTTTTGAATCCCTTTACCCCAAATACTAGCACTCTATCCAGAATGCAGACAGGAACCAAATGCCCAAGAATGGCTGTGTCCCTATGCCACAGGGCTTCACCAACTGACTTGACAAGTAAGGAGGCAGAGGTGTGAAATATGAAGGATTAAGTAAAAGTTAGGTTCCACATCTGGTAGACTGGTAGTATCTAGTACAGAAACCAGTTCTGCTTATTACAGCAAGTATTCTGTCCTAAACAGCTGTTACATTCTCTGGCTAAATTATTCCAAACAAATCCTCCCTTATTTTTTCAAGGCACTAAAATTACTTTAGTATGTTTTTTTTTTTGGGGGGAGGGGTTACTGGGATTTGAACTCAAGGCCTCACACGCCACTCTGTAAGCCCTAGAGTATCAGTTTTAAGCATTAGAGCCTCTTCTCCAACAGCAGTCACTGATAATTTAATGAAATGAAATGCAAAAGAATTCAGGAATAAAATCTGAGCAGCTCATAATATAATGGAAGGAAATGTTACACAGGTGGCTGTTAACCCCAATTTACAGTTTTATTATTTACTAAGAGACTATCAAATATAAAAAACACAGAAAGGAAACACAGCTTTGAAAAGGTAGACTTTTAATAACTGCCTTTATCACCAGGTTAAGTCATGCAGTTACAAAGTAGTTAGAAATTTCTGAAAGGGTACTGTTAAAAAAAAAAAAAAAAAAAAAAAGCGCGCTCATTGTTACATAAATAGTATCTAGGACTTCACGGGACACTACTGTTCAGAAGGCCCTGACGAAGCAACTCCCTACAAAGCACTCAGCCCCAGGTCATCTCCAGCCTGCTGTTAGTGAAGCAGGGTGCAGAATGTGAAGTCTCTGAACGGAGAGGGCATGGTGGGCTGAGCCAGGGCCACTGGCACTGCTCAGACCCCACCAGACTCCAAACAGGGAACCCGAGTGGTTTTTTTTTTTTTTTGTGACACTACTCAAATTACGGTTCAATTCAATTACTCAACACAAAAGGAAAGAAGTAGTTAACATGATAAGGAAGTTACTGCTTTCTTTGGACTATGTGTCATAATTACAGTCTGCAAATTCCCAAAAAATAGCGTCTGTCATGTGCAGGTATGAAGAGTTCTCCATAGAGCTTTTTATTTTTGCTGGACAACAATTATGTGACTGAAAACCTATAAATGATACTGTTTTATGTTATAAAAATACTAGCTTTCTTAATTTATTATGTTTATAGGCATTTACTGTTTGCGTCAAGGTTAGGCTTGTTAAGTGATTAAAGGCAATTTTATTACAGCAGCATGTTTTTATTTTATTCTGAAATAAAATGCATAAGAGAAACGGCATTATTTTGTTTGCAACTTATAAAATTGAGTTATTCTGCTGACATAAAATACCAATAATGCACTCGAGGACCATGCTACCTTCTGAAAATGCCATACACTTGTCCAGGGCAAGTGACTGCTCTTTTTATTGTTGCTATTGCGGTACTGGGGTTTGAACTCAGGGAGTCATGCTCGCTAGACAGGTGCTCTACACCACCAATAAGTGATCGCTCTTGACTGCCTGCCCTGGCAACAGCACTGACCCTGTTGGGAAGAGTCTAGAGCAAGGCAGCAGAGTCAGATGGAAGAGATTTATTTAAAGGCCAAAGACCTAAATGGCTCTGTGGCATAGGTGATTTACACTTTATGACACTCATCAGCTTGTACATGATTTCCTAACCTTAATCTCTTTCTTCTTAAGGGCTGACTGAGAGTGACTTGTTGAGAACAGTGTCCATTATCTAATGACTTGTGAGAGAGTTCTGTGGTTACAGGTAAACTTGCGATAGGTCTGCCAAAGTTACAGATGAAGAGGGTGGTGAGGACATCAGCCATGATGCATCTATGTGAAGGTCACACCGGCTTCGTTGTACACTTTGAAGACTTTCTCAATGGCATTGACATAGGCAGCTGTTCTCAGGTCTAAGCCCAGGTTATACTTCATGGCTGTGCGCATAATTTGCTGAAATGAAGGAGAAAGGCAGTGAAAGCTACCTGACTCAAGCAGCTGGGTGGTGAATTCAAAAGGCATGTGGAAGCCATGTAAGTCACCCTGTTGCCATGTCAGTGCAGGACTTACCCATCCGAAAACAAACTACTCTGCAGAAGAACAACCTCTAGGCTGGAAGAACTAATTCTCTGGAATTAGTGTGATTATTGTCTATGCACTAGTTTAGACACCCTGTACTCTGGAGTGAGTTCATTTCAGATGCTCATGATTAAGAAGTACCACCGTCATCATCATCTGTTTATGTTACTTCAACTCGGAAATCCAAGTGGATAGAATCTCAGTTCAAGAAGTTAAAAAAACTAGACCCAAACTATGTTTTAGTCTCTTCCCAAAATAATGATCAAAAGTTCAAAAAACACTGTTCCTTCCATATGAAATTCTAGAGTAGAATAGCTCCCATAACCATATCGTAGTGACAGACTAAGTAGCATTCCAGTTTGGCTGACTATTAGATATGTAGCCAAGTGCTAACCACTCCCTCTTAATTTAGCACAATTTATTTCTGAAGCCTGGTAAATGTTATTTGAGGACAACAAAGGTGCTCATCATCTGTGTCTGAAAAGACATGCGCCCTGCTGTTTTTTTACTTCACCACACAGAAAGTCTGCCTACTGAGACAAGAGTTAAGCACACATACCCTGGCAGAACGCTCCATAGTGTAGGCTAGGCCTGAGTGCACGATGTCTTTCTCTGAAGCACCCTGTTAGGAAAAAGAACACAAGTTTAACAAAAGCACATGAAGACACACTTTTTGTCTCTGGAAGTATTCTTAAGTAAACAGCCAGACAAAATTGTTTTATTTTTCAGTATTATATCAAGGTATGGTATATCTTTTTTTGGGGGTAGTGTTGAGAACGGAACTCAGGGCCTTAGGCATGTTAGGTAAGTGCTCTGTCCATCCCAAAATACAGTTTCTTTTCCTCCCCCTAGTACTGGGGTTTGAACTCAGGGCCTCACACTTCCTAAAACATACAGTGGCTGACGCCTGTAATCCTAGTTACTTGGAAGGCTCAGGAGGGTCATGGTTCAAGGCTAGCCGGTGAGACTTCACCTCCAAAATAACCAGAGGAAAAGTTAGACTGGAGGGAGGTGTGTTTCAAGCGGAAGAGCACCTGCTTTGCGAGCATGAAGCACTGAGTTCAAACCCAATCCCACCAAAAATAAATAAATAAATAAACAAAAATAACTAAAAAGAAAGAAATCTGGTTAAACCTGACAGCAGCTCTGAGGTGGGGTGGGGTAGAGCTCTGCCCTCATATTCAGTAGTACCAACTTTAAGCTAGAGGATTTTAGTGGTTTTAGTTTTGCTGATGAGAAAACTAACCAGACAGGTTAGCCAAACCTACAGATAGCTATATTTAGGGCTGGGATATGACCCCCCACACTCCCATCAAGTCAGCTAATCTCTTTCCTATGCTAATTACCTGAGTCAGGACAAGTCACTTTACTACCACTCCTAATGTGATACATATAGCTATACAACACACATCCTGACATGCCAGATACAAACTTAAAGTAGGTCACCATCACGTTATCTGTGCTGAACATCACACAATTCATACTGCATTCATTTAAGTATGTTTATGTAACATTTGCATTAAACTTCATTTTTTTTTGTCAAGTTAAGAAAAGGAAACAATTTGCTTTTTAAGAAGAATACTGCTGCTGTTTCATCCTTTCGTTCACCAGACATCAATTATACGGGTTCTTCCAGGTACTTCCCAGCAGAGAACACTTGTTCAAAATTCTCCCTTTTCATGGAGCCTACATTCTAGTGTGGGAGAGGGGATAATGCATATACATCTGGACTTGAAACCATGAAGCTTTTCATTGTTTGCTTTGGCAGTTCTGGGGTTTGAACTTGGGCTTTGTGTTTGCTAGGCAGGTGCCCTACTGTTGGAGCCCACATAAGGGATTTTTCATCAAGGTAAAGGAAAGACTTAGGCACTGAGAGGTGAAGAAATGAAGAGTACCAGCAAAAGGCAAGAAGGGCTAGCAAGTAGGGTAGGAAGAAAATCAGGAAAATGTGGTGTCCTGGGAACTGAGAGATGAAAATGTTTCTAGGCTGGAGTGATCAACAGTGAGATGAGCTACTGGTAACTCCGATCCAGACGAGAACTGAAAAGGGACCACTGGACTGGGCAATGCTGATGTCACTGGTTCCCTTGGCAGAACAGTTTGGTGGCATTGCTTCAAGTATAGAAAAACTGGAGACGGTATTTATGCTGTGACGCAAACAAAATGCAGTTATAACTAGAAGAAATGTGATTAAGATGTATTTTTGGGCTGGGTGCCAGTGGCTCACAGCTGTAATCCTAAGCTGCTCAGGAGGCAGAGATCAAGAGGATCACAGTATGAAGCTAGCCCTAGGCAAATAGTTCATGAAACCCTATCTTGAAAATACTCAACACAATGAAGGGGCTGGTGGAGTGGCTCAAGTGGTAAGAGAACCTGCCTAGCAAGTGAGGCCCTGAGTTCAAACCCCAGTACTTCCAGGAAAACAAAAACAAAAACAAAAAACCCTAATATATATATGTGTATGTGTGTGTATTGGTTTTGTTTTTTTTGAACAGCACTTGGACCCTGAGAGGAATGACTCAGTAAACTGATATGCAAAGGGCAACACTGCAGCACAGTGCATCTGAAAAGCTGGGGATGGTCATGCAATGCCCAGAGCAAGAGCTGGGTGCAGGCAGAAGAAATAGCTGGTGCACCACATGAGGATAAATGGCACAGACCAAGAATGTGCAAGTTCTTGAACTGCTTCAACTTTGCTGTGACTAGATAGCAGCTCAAGAGCTGGAGAGCAGGAAGCGAGAAATGAAGAGAATAGGCAAAGGAGTCTGACTGTGGCCCTGAGAGGCACCTGGACCTCCTAGAAACAGGATGGAGGAGGCAGAGAGCTGGGGTTTAATGAGGAATTGTGTGTTGCTTGTATGATGAAGCAAACAAGACCAGGGAGTGATTGTAATGATGAAGCAGGAAATTTTAACTTAGATTGAGAGAGAAATTAGTACATTGCAGGGATGAAAAACAGTGAGAAGAGGTCCTATTAGGGCATAGAGAAAAGGGAGCAGCTCTCTAGCTGGGGAAAACGTGTTTTCTTTCTTTCTTCTTCTTTTTTTTTTTTAAAGGAGTATTGGGGTTTGAATTCAAGGCCTCAACTTGCTAGGCAGGTGTTCACTCCTCTAGCCCTTTTTGGTCTGGTTGTTTTGGAGATAGGACTCACGTTTTTGTTCTAGGACAGTGTTTAATCAAACACCTCCTACTTACAGCCTCTTGCATAGCTGTAATCATAGAGACAAACTACCACGCCTGGCTTATCAATTGAGAAAGGGTCTCTCACTAACTTTTTGCCTGCCCTCAAACTGTGATCCTATCAACCTCCACCTACTGAGTAGTTAGGATTACAGATGTGAGTCCCCAAGCCTGGTTTTACTTTTTTTTTTTTGAGGCAGTGTCTTACTAGATAGCCCAGGATGGCCTTGAACTCACAATTCCCTTATCTTAGACTGCCTAGTGCTGGGATTATACAAGGGGACCACTATGCCCAGCTGAAAACTGGATTTTCTACTGTTGCTTACTCCTAAGTCAGTGAGAGGTGAGACACAGCACTGAAAACTTAAAATTAGAGGCCATTTAAAAACTGGGAGACCAATACATTGAACACAAATTCTGTTAAAAGGATATAGTCATTCCTAGCTGGTCTTCCTAAGCAGCTGGTGGTCCTCTTTCTGCACTCTGCTTGAGGTGAACTGTGAGCATCTGGCATGTACCAAGTAGATGCTAGGCACACGGAATAACAGGAGGAACAACTGCCTCTCAACAACCCTTATTGTGCTTCAAGTCACTAGTGATGAAACCATGCCCAAAACTGGTATGCAGAGGGGACTTTCAGAAAAATGTCATAAGGCTGCAAGAGGGGGTCAGGCCTTCCAGAGTGGAGCAGAACAGAGAAAAGATGAGGCTCTGGGAACCAGGAAGAGTTACTGAAGGAAGAGCTTTCCTCCTGCAAAATGAAACCCGTTTCCCATGTTACAATACAGTCTTAAAGCTGCTTCTCTACCACCGGACTATTTTTTTTTTTTTTTTTACAATTTATAAGTCAGTTTATTAAATTTATTAAAATAGTTGACTCAGGCATCTGCAATGGTGATTCGACCTCCACTCCTGGCTCAGTACTGATGGAAGTAATCGGTTTAACAATCTCAGAAGGGCTGTGCAAATCAATGAGTCACTTGTGGATTCTCATCTGGAACCGATCCCATGTCTTAGAACCTTCACCACAAGGTGTTTTTCTTGTAGTGATTCTTGAAGTCTTGGTAGGCATGTGCACTGGTTCTTTCTCTTTGAGGTTCTTTTCCTTGGTGCCTCTGATCAAGTCAGCACACACCTCCAGAGACTTCCCGTTGCAGCTGGTGAGGGTGACTTGAATTTGTGACTTGTCACTTCCAGCTCCACAGGGGTTTTCCTGGTCTCTTTAAAAGCCATGGATAAAGTGCAGCTTCCTGAATGACTTGTGAGTCAGGAGGAGGGGCAACTGGAACTAGCTCAGCTGTACTCACAACTGTGCCTCCCACAAAAAGCCCACCGGACTATTAAATCAAACCAAATCTAGAAACTGGCTGCAAACAGTTTCTATGACATCAGCATGTGTGGAATCATTCCTCTTCTTCTGAATCCTTTTTGTTTCTATTGCACTGTTGGGATAGAGCCCAGGGCATCACTCACGCTAAGCAAGCGCTCTGCCACTGAGCTACATCTCCAGCTGCTAAATAATTTTCTAAAGGTAAATTCCCAGATGTCATTATTGTACTGAAGCGGTAACACTTTAATAACTCTTCAAATTTTCCCAAAGAACTGTACTAATTAGTTCTGCCATCAGAATAAAGGTATGACTATTTTACCAGACAAAAAAAAAAAATTTTGTATTTTGTAAACTGTGAGATTAAATATTTTTTCCAGGTGTACATGCCTTTGTAGTTCATGTCTGGGTAAAGTAGTTCTCTATGTAATGTGCATACACCATTAATACATCCTGTCAACAGTTACTAATACAAAATACCCATTTCTACTATTTTCTTTAACTCCTATGCGTTCATATACCAATTTCCAAATTTCAAGTTAAAATACATAATAATCCTCCATGGCTACACTAATCACTGTTAAGACACCTCTATTGTACAAAGTACCAAAAAGCAGAACATTTATTTATTTTAGATTGGTTATTAGTCCCTCGGAATCTTACTCCATTTTTAGAACAAAATGAAAGGAGAAGGTGTAACATGTACACAAGTCATACAGTTACGTCACACTGATTACTATCCCTCGACTCCAAACACTCGACCCAGCCTGTCTGAAGAACAGGACTGGCAATGTGTGTGAAGTGTTACTCTGGCACCACACCATCATACTTACCGATATCCTGTCCTGGAACTCTGCTGTGGGTACGACAGGAATGGTTCCTCCATGCTTTCCAAATTTTCTTTCTAAACTCTCTTGAACAGACACTGTAAAAAGCCAAGAGATCAAGGTTAGGATAATTAGCAGAGGAGGAAAAAACAAAAGTAGTACTCAAGACTATATCCATAATCCCCAAACTCTGAACTCTAAGAAAACTTAAACACTAATGACATCAAGGGTTAACCACTCAAAACTCAGTTACAAAAGAACAGAAGACTTTGCCAAACTCCTGTATAATGCAAATTTAGGTCAATGCTCTGTTTCCATAACACCCATTACCAGGGTTTTCCCTTGGCTCTATTAAATAGAAAATGCTGAGGGAAAAAGAAAAGTAAAAAGATACACACTTCACCAGATTCTCAGAGTGACTAAGTATAAGAGCTCAGTTGGAGGTCTTGGTCTTATTTCAGCCTGATAAAAATTTCCACTCTTAACTGTGGAGTTTACTCTACTCAAACAAAACCAAGCGCTCTCATTAGGAGATTCAAAATATTCTCAACAAGATAGGACTTTTCTAAGAGCAACCACAGACAAAAACGAATGAACATCAACAATGGATTTCATGTTTCAAAGTAAGACTTCTATAATATTACTAATCTGCAGATTATGTTCTAGGAATGATATCAAAATGAAACTGAATATGAAAAGTTAATACATTTAATATTCATAAAGAGAATTCTGTATTTTGGCATTAGCCTCAGGAGGTAGAACAAGATAGCTTTTTGCTCTGAGACAAAAGTCTCTAGGATTAATTACCACAGGGGAAAAAACCTCTTAAGTGTATGCTTTTTCTACCCTTTTAGCTGGTCCACATGATTTGTTTGCAAGAACAAGATTATGAGAACTCACTGAGCAAGTGGTAGTTAGAATCCCTTTCATATTTGAAGGTCAATCGACCATAGCTGACATGATTTAGATTCTTCAGCCACTCAAAGTAAGACACTGTCACTCCTCCAGCATTCAAGTAGAGATCCTATACACAAATGAGACAGAAGACACCAAAGAAAAGATGACATTAGTGAGAGTATCAAAAAGTAATGAACAAAGAATTTCAATACCAAGACACACTAAGCTTCAAACTACCCAAATATATCTCAGATAGTATCAGAAATTTCATAGCTAATTTAACAAACCCACATTTAGGAAAAAAAATCATTTTTGACTCATTAATAACTATTTGATCAACTTTGGTGATAGCCAGCTTCTTCTCACATGTCCTCAAATTAAACTGTTTGTCCACCAACCACTGGGCTGGTAGTGTGACTGACCAGAAGATAGCATTCCTTCTCCCACTTGCTGCGGGTGGCCTACTTCAGGTAAATTAGATTTTTCATGCCTTTTTCCAAAGAAGGCTCTTTAAAATGCATCCCAAGTCTACCTTAACTTCCAGTGATCCCTACTTCCTATGACCTAACTTCCAATGACCCCACAGAAAAACCTTAGCACCTGTAACTTTTTGTTTTGAAACAGAGTCTCACTATGTAGCCTAGACTGTCTTGAACTCATTATCCTCCTGCTTTAGCCTTTAGTGATTAGATTACAGGTATGTACCACACCTGGTTCTATTTTCTTAAAAGCAAAATAAAGGTGAAAAATTCACAACTTGGGAAATTAAGCCCTCTTTTCTCTCAATTCCTAGCAAAAGAAAATTACCATTGCAAATACTGATGTACACATGACTTACTGGAATAACCATGATGCTCCTCTCCAGGAAAATCTTATCAGCTTCTGGAGTGGTCGGTCCATTGGCACCTTCAGCAATGATCTGCAAGAGAGTTAGGGACAGAAAGAAAATGCTACGAATACCCTCACTGGGAAAGAGATATGCACATATGGATAAAGGACTGAGAAGAACATAATTTGGATTAAATTACAGAGGTTATTTTGCTCTATAAAGTATATAAAGCTATCTTTCTGTGCCCTAGTTTTCTTCCCTATGGTATGAAAGTTTGGTGGTAGTTGCACAACTCTATACATACCAAAAGCGATTAAATTGTGTACTTTAAAAGGGAGACATTTACAGTATGTGCCAATAAAGCTGCTAAAAAGAAACAGATTTTTATGACCACCCTAATGTCATTTCACAGTGATAATGCTGACTCTGGTTTATACAATGTTTTCACCTTGGCTTTGACTCTGGGTGCATTGGATTTGGTCAACTGCTTCTCGCTGGCAGCAGGGATCAGTATATCACAGTCAGCCTCCAAGATACTTCCTTCATAGACTTTTGCCTTGGGGAAGCCCAGAATTGATCCATGTTGCTGTAATTAATTGAAAATTAGAATTATGACTACACCAGAGTTTAAATGGTTATATTTAGTACCTACTACTTGAAAATTGTATTTATTAAGAGCTCTTTTGAACTACATTTAAAGACCACAAGGTTCAGGGTGGCCAAACCATTCAGATATTGTATTAACATACCAATTTGAAATCTTCCAGTTCCTTTGGGTCAATACCATCTGGATTCCATATACTCCCATCAGACTCACCAACACCAACACATTTAGCACCAAAACGATGTAAATATCTCATGGAATGCAGGCCTACGTTACCAAATCCCTGTGAAGAACAATTATGCATGACACAAAAATTAAAGGCCTGGTATGAGCCCTATTTTGGCTAATGTAAATACACATTCTGTTTGTTTAGAAGTATGTCTCAAAATCCTTTGGTCAAAAGAACTAATGTACTAAATGGCTTCTTTTCAACAATAAAACAAATTGTTCAAGAATGTGGAGCCCAACTGTTTTTTGTCTGTGAGAATGTGTTCTGAAGGGTCTTAATTAGACTCAACCTTCCTGGTTTATAAAGAAATGGCAGCCATGTGGTCAGTACTTTGTGATCAAGGTATGACACTATGTTACAGGAAAATAAACACTATTTTAAAGTAATATGTACACTACTTTAAAGTAATGTTTGTTTTAACTTATAAAACAAACTAAAACGTACATTAATATATCAGACAATTGAGTCAATATGCAAACTTTTCTACATACTCATAATAGTTTCAGAAAATTATGAGACCGCTCCTCCTTTTGGATACAATTTCAAGTTTAAATAAGAACCACAAGAAGTTGCTGGTAAGTCTTAAATATAATATCTGAGATATTAAAATCAGGTCTAGTTGCATGAATTAGATCAAGGTTAAAAAAAATAAAGGATGCATTCCTCTGAAAGTAATCACTAACACCTAAGAGATTCAAAAGAATCAAAATTTAAAGCTAAAAATCTAAAAACATTAAAAAGGTAATATATATCAGTTATTAAGAAAACAAGTTTTTTTTACCTGAACAACAAATGTCTTATCTCCAAAGCCTGGTGTCATTCCTAGAATGCTCATGTAAGAAGCTTCATTGATAAAGTTTTCAATCCCATGGAAAACACCACGGCCAGTAGCAGAGATGCGTCCATGGATACCTCCTTGACTGATGGGTTTACCAGTAACACAGGCATGTGCATTAATATCCTGCAAGAGGATGCACAATTTAATGAAGGAAACAATGTCAAGCCCAATTCCTATGACCAACCAATATAATAAGAGTTGAAGTCAAAGACCATTCTCATTTAACTAAAAATATTCTCATTAAAAGTGTGAAGTGAGGATTCCAAGTTTGAGGTCAGCCTGGGCTATATAGCAAGAATGTCTGAGAAAAACAAAGGAATGTGTATAGGCTGGCATGGTGGCACACACTGTAATTCCAGCACTCAGGAGGCTAAGCAGGAAATCAAGTTTGAGGCCAGCCTGGGCTACACAGCAAGACCCTGTCTCAAAAAATAAAAACAATCAAAAGGGTGTGTACCAAGTGTGTAAATCTGAGTGTGTATATGTGTTAGTGCATGCATTTAAAGTACACATTCACCAAAAGAGACAAGCCTCACTTTTTCAACTTTCAGATCCTAGAAAATAAAATGAAGTAAAAGTTCAGGAATTCAGTGTCTTGTACAGTAACAATTATCACAAAAGTAGACATAGCTCAGTTTGAAGGTATTATTTCTTAAAAAGAAAATTAAGCCATTCTATGTTAGGGTATACCTCCTACTCGCAATCTACATTAAGAGTTGAATATGTCACCAAAACAGCCAGAGACAGGAAGAGGCATTACAGTTTTCTTAGATAGCAAGATCTAGTGCTGTATTCTTTTGTCAAACTAATCTTGAAATTTAATAAAGCGCTATTTTTTTTTTAAGAAAGGAACTCTACAGAAAGCTTAAAAAAAAAGTATGTGTGGGCAAGACACAGAGATGCTCATGCCTTGTGAGCACAGGGCACTTTTGATAGTGGGACTACCTCTGCGAAGTTGAGAGGGGGTGTCAATGGTCCTCACCATCTTTCAGCTCGCTTGGAACAGATACTCAGATCATGGAACAGGAGGAGAGAGGACAGACAGCCTAACCGTACAGAGGATATGGATAGAAGATGAAGAAAGACTTAAACAGTAGCAAAAGCATGGTCCTGTTGAGGCAGTTTGTTATCCATGTGACCACAATGAAGCATCAAACTTCACAACACACTACGATCTCCAACATTGTTATGACTAGGAGAGTTAATAAGTGACCTGGATTTATGTATATTATTTTTACCAACAGAACTTAGAATTTTATTACTTATACTATATATTACTTATATTATCTTGCCAACAAAAAGAATGAAAGCAAATTAAAAAAAAAAAGGCAGTCTAGTAAAGCACTACAGAAATAATTTTCCCACAGTCTTCTTTCATGAATAATTAACATTTGAGAATACAGAACTGAAAACCTCCTAAATTGCCAAATGCTTCTAAACACTGAAAATGCAAATGCTAGAGCTGAAGAAAATACTGTCTGAGGTCAGGCCTGGTGCCAATTGCCAGGCTCTTCAGAATACCTAATGGTCTTAGAACAAGAGTGGAGCAGGGAGGTAGGGAGCACTCCCCTCTAACCCCATCCTGCCTGGTGGAGCTGGACCAAGGGCTCTGGTTCATGTCTACAAATGAGTAACAAAAATTATGGCTTCCTTACCTAGGTCTATATTTTGGATATCCTACAAGTTGAAGAAAGAAGGTCTCTTATCAATACAGTGCAAGGTTTAGCTGGCATTGCCTCACAAAACTTCGTGTTGCCAACAATGCACACTGTTTAGTGTTGTGCCAGGATGAAAAAGCAAGAGACCATACCCAGCGCTCACTCAATAGTAAAGGTGACATGCTGAAGTGCCCCTTTTGAGAATGGCAGTCCAAAGCAAAATACTTTGAAACATCTCCTACTACTCTTATTTCGAAGGATATACACTTATTTTTTGTGCTTATTAAGTGCTGTGGGTTGTTTGAAATACACTACACTATTCTTCACATAATCTTCATTATCAGCCCTATGAAGCAGATATTATTGTTGTTTTACATATGAAGAAACCAAGGCATAGGCTCTTACAGACCAGAGATCTGATGAAGACAGCAGGATTGGTATTCACACCTGATTATAGTTTTCCTCTTCTCTAAAGCCCACCTTTCCACTAGGGCCTTGAAAGACATCCCCCAACCACCACCCCCACCGCCCCTCAGCTTTGGAACTATTGCCTCTCTCTTGCATGGTCTGTCTTTCACAGCAGTGAGTCTATGGCTTCTCTCAAGTACCATTTTTCTGTCTTTTTTGGAAACAGGGTCTTGCTATGTATGTAACCTAGGCTGAGTGCTGGGTTTAAATGTCTGTGCCATCACACTCAGCTACAGTGCTATTTTTCTTATGTGAAGGTTACATTTCATGCCTCACTTTCTTCACATACCCGAGGTCTGGGACCCTCACCTAGCTTCCTTCCCTCAACCATCCCCTCTCCTACTGCACACAGAGCGAGACTTAATGACACACTCAGCTGTTCCACATGCCTGCTCATAAAAATCTCTTTGTGGCTTCTCTGTTTTCAGGACCAAGACTGAAGTCCTTACTGGTCCCTCCAAGGCAGTAACTCAGACAGACCTGAGCTGGCCTTTTGCACCATCTTCCTCCCATTCTTGACTATCTACAGCAGCTGCTTCCCATCTCCAGCCTACCCATGTGCTTCATTCTGCCTCAAACACTCTCCATGCCTTTCCCTTAGTTGATGTGCACTCAGCCTTCAGAGTGCAGAGCAGAAGGTTCCATCTTTCCATCTCTAAGGAGGCCTTTACTGACCTTACCTCCAAAGGCTTGTTTAGGCCCCATTACTTTTGTATAGCTTTGAAATAATCTCAGTAGCTGTAGTGAACATCTGACTTTTACTTGGCCTTGCAGGTAGTAGTCATGAAGTCTTTTAAAAATCCATTCCTCTTTCTGGTTTTTAAATGTATTGTTCACATTTAAAATGCGAAACTTTCAGGTACAGAGAGTTGTTACTCTCCCCAGCTCTGGGCTATGAGGATAGGTGATGGCACCTCACAGGAGGCTAGTTTTCCCTAAGGAAGAGGTGTAAAGTCTCCACTAACTATCAAGTAAAGTAAAACCAACATCAATCAGGGCTTGTTTGTTTTGCGTGGTTTACTTACCTCTTCATGGGTATCTTCCATTACCTTTATAAATATGCCATCCATCAGTCTGAGTTCTAGTTTCTCCTCCTCTTACCCCCAAATCTCCAGAGGTTCAAAGTCAACCCATTTTCAAGATCTATCCTACTTGTCCCTTCTAGAATCCCCTCTTTCAGAAACCCTAACTCCCTACTTTTATATTACATTATTTCCCAATCTGCTCATGTGACTTAGCTCCTCTTTAAGTGAAAGCTCGTTAGAATCAAATGATTATTATTTCTTTTTTGAGACAGGGTCTTGCTATGTAGCCCAGGCTGGCCTCAACTTGAAATTTCTTGCTTCACCCTGCTGAGTGCACACTACCAAGCCTAGTTCTGAATGTTTATTACCTTCTAGTGTCTGAGCAAGACACCTATGCTGGTGGGGAGGAGTGCCCTACCCCGGTGCTCAGTATTAAGGCAGCATATTAAGTAAAAGATCAATCCATGTTTACTATGTTTATTGTTTAAGAACAAAGGAGAAGCAAAGTATTATGCATATCAAGTTGATAATTAATAGGGAAGAGATGAACCCAGATTCCAACTTTTCATGTCATCAGCTGAATTGTCACTTCTTATGGACAACAGTGCAGGAAGCCTCGGGGCTTCAGTGGATACTCACATAGTGCCCTATGGTGCTGGCATAGGTGTCAGCGATCCAGGACATCTCCCGCTCACCCGTGCTCATGTCTGGGGCAGGCACATCAATGCCAGGACCTGGGAGCACAGGGAAAGGGCAGTGTACCAGTTTTTTAAGATAAACTTATCCCAAATACAATTCTCTAAGAGAACAAAGTCACTATGGCTAGCAAACTTTAGATCTCCTTTAGGTAACTAATCAAAGTCATAGAAATACTCACTAAATGTTTTTCTCTAAAATTTAGACACATACAATGTTACGTAGCAATTTCTCCCACTGGCATTCACTCACTGAGTCTGATTTTTAGTTATTCACCATAGATAAAAAGCTACTTCTGGGTGTGATCACAGGCAAATAGTTTGGTCTCCCAACTTCAGTACCCTAAATGGCAATTAAGAGATAATGGTACCATCTTGCCTAATGCTTACTTCATTAGACCTTCTCACCAAGCAGGAAAAGGGAAAAAGCCACATTGTTGAAACCAACGATACTTTTTACTTGTAGAATGTTGCTTTGACCCATTACTCAATGCCTAGTGTATATGCAATTTTATGCCTTGTCTTTTAATTCCTCCAATCACAGCCAACAGGAAAGTTAAAGAATAGCAAGCGTTGGCTCATAGGCAGCAATAGCTGCCAGCTCTGCCACTGATGACCACAGTGAGCTCAATGAAAATGTGTTCAGTGATGGTTATTCCAACCTATAAAGGGAGGAGTATGTGCAAATACTTCTCTCAAAAAGCAGTAAAGATAAAAGCAACTTAATTATCTAGAATGTTAAGTAATAAAATATGATATAGCCACACAAAGTAGCACTAAAAGGTCATTAAAAAGAATGATTTATACCCACAACTTGGAATTATCACCAAATCCACCACATGGAAAAAAAAGAGGCAGGTTTCATATACTCAAGTATGTTCCCATACATAGAATTCTGTCTCCATTTTTCTTCCCTGTTTCCATATATATATATATATATATATATATATATATATATACATACACACACACACACACATAGAGGTTTGGGAAGATAAGAACAATCTTGTTTATTGTGTTCTCATCAAATTTTAGCCTTGTTATAACTTTCTATATATACAGTTTCAATTGAATCATAGAAACTGATTATAAAAATACAACTTTAAAAATAGTTAAACTTGTCCCCTCCAGAAAATAACAGGAGCCACACCCAAATTCTTTCCACAATCTTTGCTTTTTTTTTGGTGGTGTTGGGGATTGAAACCAGGGCCTTGGGTGTGCTAGGTGAGTGCTCTACCATTAAGCTACATTCTCATCCTAATTTTTACTTTTTAGTCAAAAGAAAAAGTACATTCTTTTGATTTCTACGATCTAGGTAGGAGTTCAGGACCTAGACACTGTAATTTTTTGAAAAAGCTGCGATGTAATGGATATAAGACTGGCACAATACAACTTTGATATGGTCAAGGTTGGCTTTTGCATCACCACCTAATCCATTACTCTATGTCCTGATCCCCTTTCCTTAGGCACCTTAAAAATCTCATGACTTCTGAACTCCCCAAAGCACATGATGAATACATGTTCTAGCCTCCTCCACTTACAAAAGGACTCTACTGCTTCTGTTTGCTCACTTTCCATGCTTACAGTCTGCCTACCCCAACTACAGGTTAGAGTAAATCTGTTTAACCATATTTCTTCCCTAAGATACAAGTCACAAATTGCTACTGAATCTTCCTGGAAATATCTGTAAATATTATCCTTGTTTCTACCAGCATAAACTTAATAATTCCAGTTGGCAAGTGGCATGTCTGAGGATACAGTTTGTAAATCAGAAAGGTATACTGATAAACTCTTCCTTAAAAACATCAGTCTAGACATGCGAAGGGTGAGACAACTTCTGCTCAAAACAAAATCAAAGTATTATTGGGTTTATGAGCTTTCTATTTCACACAAAATCAATCTATAGTGATACACCGATTACATGTAATTCCTGAACTATAGAGAAGCTCTCAAACATTTAATAGGAAATGGGACTGAGGCAGAAGTCCATCCTTTTTGAAAAAGCAATAACTGTAACAGAACATGCGCACAGGTGATAGCTGAAAGGGTAATTCTGATGTATGGTGACAATGGGGAATGAGAAAGATGGAGCCATAAGGAAGCTACAGAAGAACTTTACAGTTCATACAGGTACTATCTAAACTGACACTAATTCCAAATATTTCCAAGAAGTGGAAGAGGAAGGAATAGTTTCCAGTGATGCTGCTATTACCTTGATGCTAAGACTAGTCAAAGACATCCGAAGAAAACAAAAGATGACTATCCTTTATAATAGCATCAAAAGAAATAAAATATTTAGCTGATGCTCCTAGACCGGGAACTATGAAACATCATTGAAAGAAACTTAACAACCTCAATAAATAAAGAATTCTATGTTCATGGATTGAAATACAATATGGTTAAGATGTCAATACTCCCCATATTATCTATAGATTCAACACAAACATACCCAAAATCCCACCTGTTGTTTTTTCAGAAGGTAACAAGTTGATACTAAACTCATAAAATATGACAGGGTCAGGATTATGATTTAAATCTGAGTGATAACCTGATACTCTGTGGAAAGAGAAGTTAGAAAATAACAAATAAAGAAGTTAAGACACAAACAAAAACAAACCTTCCTTTGCCTATGGCCTATGTTACAAAGCTTTCTAGGTGTTGTGGTTTAGTAAGTCTTTTCCATATAAGCAAAGAAATCAAATTACTAGTTTTGCCTTCCTTCAGTGTTCCAACAAGTCAATTTTCAATCTTTGGAACTGTAAGATACTTGTGAAGATTCCTAAAGTTAAGCTGGAAACACTCTAGGTATGGGCAATAAATGTGACTGAATCAAGTCTAAAATCACACAAGGCTATTAAAATGCAATTGAGATTCAGGCTAAGAGAAAATATGATCTAAATAATTGTGAAAGCCATCATCAGGCTGAACATGATTTCAATTCATGTCTCAGAGTTAGGAGTTATTCCTAAAGGTCAGAATGAGAACTCTTTAACTTGCTAGCATGCTTCTCCTGTGCAATGACACACAAGTTCATTGTATGAAGCATGTTGGAAATCAAATGCCTCTTAAATGATGAGATCCAGGCAAAATCTTGTAAAGTTCTAGCTGTATCTATATTTATTTTATTTCTGTATTAGCTTATTTACTTCATATCTAACTTCTTAAGAATGGGACAAATTTCAAAATATGAATAATTTGTTGAGGTAAGGGGGTGCGAGGGCAAGAAAAGTCACAGGACAGGAAAGCAGAGAAAAGGTAAGATTGCCCCTTCCCTGATGTTTTAGTCTTATTTTGTTTAACTATGACAACAGGGGATGCAGTCTATCAATTTATTTATTTTTCATAAATTTATTTTATTTAAACAAACTAGAAAACTTCTAGACCAAGAAAAAAATACATATAAAGAACTTAAATTGCTGGAAAATTAGAGTAAAAGGCAAGTGTTTACACGTAACAAAGAATATTTATGTCTCACTTAGAACATAAACACCAACACTAGGCAGTAAGATTAAAAAATACAAAATTTAGTGTTTGACAAAAGCTCCTCTATCCAACATGAGGTCTTCTGAGAGAGCCAGTGATGGTGAGGTGAGTGATCACATAGGCCTCATTGCCTATTCCCACTGTTCTGAGGCATGACTGTGTCTGTTTAAAATCACTAGCTTCAAAAGGCATCAGATTCCTCATTGCTTTAGAAACAAATACACAGTCCTTAAGGGTATGATTATATTCTTTTGAATGTCTTAGTAGAAACTGCACATTGTGACCCTATTGCTCCAAAACCTTAGGTTACTTGTACAAGCAGAAGTGGGAGAGACCTCCAGTGTCCACACTGCCTAACAAGAATCTGAACTTTCCTTTTGGAGATGTGTCACAAAGAGGCCAAGATATGTCTATCATAGAACCTGGTTTTTAGAAGAAAAAGGGCAGCTATATTCAGACACATATAAAGGCAAAAGTTTAATTAAAGATAATTAGGTGTTCCTATTTTATACAGATAACCATATGGCCACACATACCAATAAAACCCTTCTTTGCTAGCTCCATGGTGAACCTCCTTGTGATCTTTTCCAATTCATTATCCTGTAATGGAAACAAATGCCACCAGCAAAATTCAGCAAGGAAAAACATTTTTGATACAAAAATCAGTTGAGGAGCATTTCATCTATTTTCTATGTACAGAACATTTTCATTTATCTCCTTATGCAGTCCTTAGAACAATCCAAAGTAGGCATTTCCACTTTAAAGGTAAGAAAATAGAGATTAAAAAATTAGACTATAAGGGGTAGGGTGTTGCCCAGTGGTACAGGTGTGTTTAGCATGCACAAGGCCCTGGATTCAATCTCTAGCATGGAAAGGTTATAAACAAACAAGATAGAAGAACTAGGGCTCAAATCCCAATTCCTTTTTATAGCAACTCTTTAGTTAAAACAAAAAACAAACTAAAATCCTAATCAAGCCTACTTTAAAAATGTTATAGTCAGGTGTGGTGGTACATACCTATAATCCCAGCAGTCAGGAGGTAGAGGCTGGGAGATTGAGATGAGGCCAGTCTGGATTGCATAGCGAGACTATCTCAAAATGATGTATTGGGGCTGAGGGAGTGTCTCAGTGGTAGAGTATCTGCCTAGTAAATGTGAGGCCCTGAGTTTAAACCCCAGTGCCCCCCCCCACAGCATTATACTCATATGAACTCTATGAGCTATGTCTATATTTTCATTTCATTGGTAAATTTTAAAGAGATTTAAAACAATATTTATTATGTCTGTTAACTTAATACTATGTAGATGGAGATAATAACTACTTTTTTCTTTTGGTGGGACTGGGGTTTGAACTCAGGGCTACATGCAAAGTAGGGAGTCTACCACTTGAGCCACACCTCCAGCTCCCTGTAACGACTACTTTTTAGTTAAACTGGAACTGATAGAATAAACATGATTTTTTTTTTTTTGCTGGTACTAAGGTTTGAACTCAGGGCCTCATGTTGGCTAGGTAGGTGCTTTACCTCTTGAGTCACTCCACCACCCCTGATTTTTACTAGATTAGTTAAGAAATTTATCCCTACAATGAGATTCCTGCACTGAAAGCTCAGATAATTTTTAAACTTGATGTAAGTGTCTAACACTATGAAAGTATTAATTACCTTTAAACCACTAAGAAAAAAAAAAAGACACTGATGTTAAGCAGGTGACCTTTCACATGACAACACATTTAATGAATTAATTATTTGTTTTTGTATTCCTTCTGAAAAGCAACCAAGATCATTAACCTCACTAGAATGGGGGATACTCAGGAAATTTCAAATTCAGTGGTAAATGCACTGTGTATATAAATACTACTCTGATACTTACCGTATAGTTCTTAGGGTTGATCTTAACACCTGCTTTGGCACCCCCAAATGGCACATCTGAAAGGGAAAACTGAAAGTTGTTACTTCATATAAAGGTTAAAAAAGAAAAAGAAAAAGCGCTGTCCCTTGTAGGTTGAATATACCTTACCTGAAATGTCAATTTCAAATTTTAAAATATTTGCACATGCACAGTGAGGTATCTTGGGGATCATATATACAAAGCAGCAGATAGTTTTATATGAAGTTTTTTGTGAACTTGCACTTTGACTGCAACCAACCTGCTGTATGTGTAAGCTCAGGTAAGGCAATTTGCTAATTGTGGCATACTGCTATTCAGGAAGTTTCAGACTTCTGGATTAGGGATGATCAATCCTATATTACAAAAATGTGTGATGCTATTAAGTTTTAATTTTAAATGTACTTTTACAACTTTACTGAATAGAAATTATAAGGCTAGCCAACTTATAATATATATTTAATCAGTGCAAGAACACTATATTACCTCTACTATGTCTTATTTAGAGTATGGACAGAAATTTAAAATAACGATCTATATTTAAAGAAAATCCAAGCTTCTACAGAAAAAAGAGATTAAGACTAACTGAAAAATGACGTAAACCTTAGAGTGCAACTTAAAATCAGCTCTAGTAAAGTATATTTCTATAGCATCTTGAAAGTAACCTTGTATGTAAACATACTTCTCTAAAGAGTTATTAATAAGCAGCAAAAAAGGTGTTTACTTACCAACTACAGCACACTTGTATGTCATCAGTGAAGCCAATGCTTTTACTTCATCTACACTTACATCAGTACTGTAACGGATACCTGGTGATAGTCATTTAAAAAGGAAAAAAAGGGGGAGGGGGAGAAAAGTATTTTATTCAGAGCTTCCAGTAAGTCCTTCCTCCTGCCCTACCCCCAAAAGCTATAAAATTTCAACTCATAGCTTAATCATTTTATACCCAGGCTATTTCTAAGAAAAGTGAAAAGGAAAAGCTGCTAATTAGATACCCAAATGAGCACTGAGTTTGGTTTGGTTTAAAGTGTTCTGATAGTGAAGAGAGGCGCAAAAGTCCAGTGTCTGCTGAGACAGTCTATGGGGATTTAAAGATGACTAAGACAGTCCCTTGCCCTTAAAGAATTTACAGCCCAGTGGGAAATAACAGGAATTGATTCCACAAGACAAAAATTATTTTAAAATCAATTAAGAAAATGTTCTTTCTTAAGTGAAGGTTTTGCAATTTTTCTTTTTCTGCCTGGTTTGGGTGATTTGGTGGCAGTGATCAGTAATTCTGCTTTCTGATAGTACACAAACATGGGCAACAGACTGTTACAAGGCTTGACAGATTCACCTCCCTTACTTAACTGCCAATCTCTCTCGACTAGGAAATGAGATGAGCATTCCCTTTTATCACTTCTGCAAGGAGGGAGGTGGTCAAGCTGGTGACAACTCCTAGTCCTACTGCTCCTCTATCCTGAAGCCATTAGGTATCTGGTAGAAGGGTTAGAGTGGGGATGCTCACTATGTTGGCTTTGGGAAATCTGGGTCAATCACCCTTTTAAGTTTTTGTGGGATTAAGCTACCTCTGCTTCTCCCTGTCCTACTTGGTGTTTTTCAACACAAATGAAGATGGCTTGTGAGACGATAACTGAACGCACACCATAGGGACTCCCTGACACAGTCTGTGTGAAGGATACCCAGAGAAATCTGCAATACTTTCTCTACCCTCTCAATGCCAACACATTTAGCTCCCCTCCAGGTGTTGGGTTCCATCTTCACTGAGAGTCACAGTTAAGTGACAGAAGTTCCAAGGAATTCTCTTTTAAAGAATAATTCTGGAAACCAAGACTTTCAGATAAAAATATGAAACATCTCATTGGTAGTTTGAGAAAACCTCTTTGCTCCAGAAATCTTCAATATAAATATTGATATGTTTTAAAGTATTTTTACCAGAGCATATATGACCACAAAAAGCAAATTCTAAGGCCAGGCATGTTGGTTCATGCCTGTAATCTCAGCATTTGGGAGGCTGTGGTGAGCTAAATGCCAGCCTGGGCTACATAGCACCTATCTCAAAAAAAAAAAAAAACAAAAGCCCCCTCCTGCTAGGTGTCGGTGGTTCATACCTGTAATCCTAGCTACTTGTGAGGCAGCAGAAGGACTGAGGTTTTAAGACAGCCTGGGCAACTAGTCTGAGAGACCCTATCTCAAAAAAAAAAAAAACTCAACACAGAAACAGGGCTGGTGGAGTGGCTCAAGTGTGAGGCCCAGAGTATAAACCCCAGTATGGCCAAAAAAATCAAAACACCAAACCCCTCTGCCTCCCCCCAAACAGCAAATTCTGTTTACTTGAGGCCCTGGGTTCGACATTCCACACCGACTAGCCCGGACATATCACAAAACCCCTCTCAAAAATAGCAAATTGTGTGAAGCTTAGAATTACATCTTGCACATAATGGACTCTCAAATTACTTGTGAAATAAAGGTATTCAGCATTAAAATTTTAGAATGTGAGATGATATAGAATTTTTATAGCATATAGATTATACATATAGCTTTTATTATTATGGTTCTATCTTGTATCTGTTTGCTGTCCGCGTTCCCCACCCAGGAAGTTAGCAGCAGGAGGACAGACTTGCTGCTTTTATTCCTGATGTCGAACACAGGAAATGGCATGTGTTAGGCACTCAAATACATTCAGAATAATTATATGAACATTTAATATTTTTTTTCCTTTTTGTGGTACTGGGATTTGAACTCAAGGCCTTGAACTTGCTAGACAGGCGCTCTACCACTTGAGCCATTCCACCAGCCCTGAATATTTGACTCTTAAAGATACCTTACTCAGTGAAAACTACACTAAACTGGGACCTGAAAGTCTAGTACTTTGTCCAGGTGATCCAAGCTCACAGTCTGCTTACCTGGAGGGGTAAAAATACTAGTTCCTTCACCAGGGCCAGGTCTCTGGGACACCCTAAGTGAGATACCTGGCACAGCATCCTGCACTTGGTCAATACTCACATTTCAACTACTCCTACTATTAGCAATCACAAAGTAGTAGCAGATAAAGTAGTTTTTTTTGGGGAGTACTGAAATTTGATTTTAGAATTTAGGGCTTCATGCTTGCTAGGCAGGCACTCTAGACCTGAGCCACTCTGCCCCCTTTTTTTGGTGTGTGTTGGATATTTGAAATAGGGTCATGCTTTTTTTTTTTTGTGGCCTGGGGTGGCCTTAAACTGTGATCTTCCTGACCTCTGCCTCACAAGTCATTAGGATTATAGGTAAGGCTACTAGTGTTCTGCAATTTTTTTTTAAAGGATCTAAATTGACAGATTGAGCAACCAGCTTAATAAACCTTGGTTTTATTACTTAAGATATTTACAGGTAGTAGTAAAACATGTAACTATTTACGAATTATTGCTGAATGTGGTGGTGCACATCTGTAATCTCATCACTCTGGAGGCTGAGGCAGTAAGATTCAGAGTTCCAGGCCACTTCTCCATACTTTGCACTATTTGTATATTTATACTAAAATAAATCCTTGCTTAAACTTAAAAACAGAAGTCTTCACTGGATAGAACCCAGGGATTCTTGTTTGTGAAGTGAAAAAAATTTTCCCTAGCACCATTTGGAATTACCTGTCACACCACAGGCATTTTCCTGGAGGCTATAAACTAATGAAGAACTTTTATTGAATTGAGGCAATAAAGGGGCTACTAAGGAAAGTGGCAAAAGCTTAGTGGAATAAGCCCTGGAGCAGGAAGGGAACAGAACTGAGTGCAGGGTATACTGCTTGGGCTAAAGAGAAGCATGCTTTCTTTCAACTTGCCAATTAATCAATGATACATAAATGTTTTTACTTCTGAAAACTGCCAGGTATACTACTAGTATAGAGCTAAACTGTTAAGGTGCAAAATAAAAATCTTTACACCCACAAAATATTCTCTAGCAATACTTGAGACAAACTCCAGTAAAATAAGAGATAACTCACACTCAAGGAAAGCTAGTTATTCTTCATGCTTTGGGATCTGAAACCAAATATAACAACTAAAAATATACCATCACTTGAAAATTCTTTACCACATTTTAATGGACACCCAGAGATGTAAGTAAGAATAGGACTTCAAGGATTGGTTTTACCAAATGTGAGGCCTGAGTTCAAACCTCAGTACAAGAAAAAAAAAAAAGGACTTCAAAACAGAAGATTCTCTGCATGAAATTTATATATTCAGCAGATGGGAGAAATGAGCACAAATGGAATATGTGAAGGACAAAACAGTATGTCATATTTCAAAGCTCTGGAAGAAAGGCAAAAGCTAGCATTTCTGAATGGCTACTATATTTTAAGAATTCCTACTCTGAAGGCAAAGTTTTTCAATAAAGCTCCAAATACATATAGCTGTAAGAAAACCCTAAAACTTTACAAATCAAAAGGAAGAAGTCCAGGTGCCATGGCTCAAACCTTGTCCTAGCCCCAGGTGGCATCAAGAGGACTGTGGTTTAAGGCCAGCTAGGGCAAAAATTAGTGAGACCCCACTGCAACCAATGGCTGGGTGCAGTGGTACAACCTTGTCATCCCAGCTACAAGGGGAAGCACAAACAGGAAGGTCATGATTTAGGCCAGTCTGGGCATAAAGTGAAACCTCTATTTCCAAAATAACCAAAGCAAAAAGTGCTGGCTACTGGCTCAAGCACTGGAATGTCTGCCTAGCAAGTGGGAGGACCTGAGTTCAAATCCCAGTAATGCAAAAAAAAAAAAAAAAAAAAAAAAGGTAAAGATTTAAACCGAGTCTTTTGTCTTTCTTCTTTTTCTACGGGGCAGACATACAGATGTGTGGCAGAGAAGGCTAAAGGTCAGCAGTACCAATAGGTACTGGTAACTGAACTCAGGGCCTTGTGTTTGCTAGGCCAGCAGAGACTGAATGGGGGCACAGAGACAGAAAGGAGGAACATTTTAATTCCAGAAATGGAGAATGGTAAATTATGATTTTTTTTATTTTAAAGTCTTAGAGCATTGTCTGTTAGCCTTAATTGATACTGGCATTACTAGTGTTTGGGAAGAGTTTATCTGGGTTTTAGGGGGACAGTGCTAATAGGTATAATAGATTATTGCTGCAAGAAGAATGAACTTGCAGCAATAATCTATTATTATACCTACTACAGAACAGATGTCATTAGAAATGGAGTCTAAAATTAAGGGCCACATTCTGACCCGTTAACAAAATAATCTGTGTTCCAGTTCCATAGGGAACTAGAGATACCACCGGACCAATTGTCAACTGGGGGAGGGGGGAAAGGGGGGAAGGTGGAGTAAGGGCAAGGGACAGAATGAAGAACTTACCTACTACAATGGGAACTTTGAAATCTGACCTTGTATTCTTAAGAGAAACTGACTACAGTTATTTTGAGCTCACTGATATCCAGATATTTCAAAAGAACAAAATTCAGCTGATATCTGCAAACTGTACACAGCACAAAGTACTGCTCTGCCACAGATGTTTCTTAGTATGCTCAAGAGCCTAATGGTTGTGGCATACCAAGTTTTTCTATGAGGAATACAAACTAAAAGCAAAAACTAGCTAGTTACCATAGTGATGGAGAAAACAAACCAGCTCATTACTTTAAAAAAGTTTCAGTGAAAGCCACAACTGACTACTTACAATTTTTTTCCTAGCTGACTCAAAACCAAACACACATGCATGTAAACACAAACTCCCTAGTTACCACTGTTTTGTGATAAGAGGTAAACATTTATGAAAATTAAAATGCTTTAAAAAATTACCCGAAGGGGGATCTCTTACTAAGATAGGATTTATTCACTAGA